GTACAGCAGGAGTTGAAGTCCACACATCTTAAAGTTGCCAAGTTTGAAAAACACTGCTCTAAACCTTCGAACCCAGTAAGAACTGCAACTAAAGAGCCATAACAAAAATAATAGTAACTGTTTCTATGCAATTTAACTAATTATGGCTTAAATTAATGTGCGAATGTTTGTATGAGTACCCAATATTCCAGACTCTAATTCAGAATTTTTTTTTTGAATTCATGTTGACATTAATACCAGGTACTTTCCTGCTACCAATCATGTCTGACAGCAAGATGAGTAGGCAAGTACATCTGATAAAGACACAATTATTTGGTCTGCATATGAACACAGAGTTTGAAGAATCTTTAGGTACAGACTGCAATAGATTAGGACTTGTTGCATTTATTATCACATTTAGTACAAAATATAGAACACATTACATACAAACTACATTGAAACCTGAGTATCCTTTAAAAGGAAAGCTCATCTTCCATGTAAAATCCTACCTGTGCTTAATACACAGCCTAAAAGACATGAATGTATTAGTGTTAGAAGCAGCCAATTGCAATATTATGTTATTTTATACAATATACACACATACGTATATTTCAGTGAACAGTGGGTCAACAATTAGTCTGCATAATGTATAGTAGGATGGTGTACTTTTGTTCTTCCCTAGAAAAGGTCACAGAATTATCCAATTTGTTTAAAAGTTTGCCTTTCTGTAGAAATACTGACTACAGAGTCCACAAAAATTAGTCTTCATCGGCAGCAAAGCAGGCAATTGTCTGTTTACAGTGAAACAGAAACTTAAAACTTTATAGCCGGCAGATCCCAGCAACTAATTTTCACTGAGTTCAATAGGATCTACACATTTTTATCTATATATTTTGGGAAAGCTGAGATTGCTACAGCTTTTAGGGGGAGTAAAAAGGAATCACTAAGCATAATAGGCTTGAGTATCTTCAACAATTGTGACAAGTTTAAGGGGGGAGGGGGGTAGATTTCACTTAAACATTCCATATGCAGGGCTTAAAGAAGTAACTTTTCAAAATAAAGTAGCAGCTCTTCAGAAGAACAACTTAAAAGCCAGATACTAATGTTTGTTCACATTATAAGCAATAACTCACCATTAACCCTTAGGATATAAAGACTTACATGCAGCTTGTTAATACCCACATATTTTAAAAATACATTCACACACACTTTCCCTTTCTTGTTCATTTGACTAAGATGTTGGCCCACACATGTAAGCAAGCCAGAAAGGCAACATTAACCTCATTTTGATATCCGTGATTTTAAAAGGCTTAACTGTTATTTCCTGTATTATACCCACATAATCCTTCCAGTTTATGTAGGATATCATCATCTTCCTCTTTCAGATGTTCCCCTGCATTCAAGATTCTGTTGTGCCATCACCATACTTGTACAAATGGAATCGCAAGATATTAAGCAGTTTTCCAGATGATTCTTCACTATTCTCATAGCAACTTCATTCACCTCTGATGAAGCAGAGTTACTAACAGTCCTTAATTTCTTCAAGAAATGTATCCAGTGGTTCAACTGATAATACAGATGTAAAAGAACACTAACACTTAAATGAGGATGTTTACTTTATAGTGGCTTTGAAAATAACTGAATCCTGAACTATCATAAAAATCTTTGGCACTTTGGAAGAACAATCTGCAACTGACAGAGAGAGATTTTCCCTATCTAATGCCTGCTTCCTGCACTGCAAAAATTTTAGGAGAAAAAAACACTTAAAAGTATGTGTCCTTTTAAACAACAACAAGCTTTTGCAGTGAGCCAGGAGTGGCCCAACTGCTATTCAAAATCTGGACTGGAGTTTTGCAATACAACTTGCATAAGATGCATTTCAAAGAATAAATCGATACTGAAGATGCTTTTCTTCTGCATTGCTGCCTTGGCCACCTCTAGCTTCTGTTCTGCTCAGATGTTAATGCCAACAGTCTCTTGCTAAGCAGGGCATTGTGCCGCCGAAGGTATTCAATCACATCACCTTGTTTTTCAACTACTTCTTCCAAACTTGAGGTTTCTCTGAAAATCAAAAAATTAATACATCATCCTTATTACAATATTTTTTGTTATCTTACTCATCTGAAAAGAATTGCTCTTCCCAGCACCCTAACCCTCTAGAATAATCAGTCACAAGATCAAGTCCAATATAAAATCATCAGGGCTTAAAAAACACAGGAGTCAGTGCCAAGGATTTATGCAAGTTCAGCAAGTTTTATTCAAGTACCTGAATCCAACTTCTGAGGTAACTTGATTAGGATAAGAATATATCTTCTCCTCTTCTATTATATCAGGTCTTGACTTTGCTTGATTAAAGTTGCTTACCTTCACTTGGAAAACAAAAAAGATGAAATGTATATTCTGCTAAAATCAGACTATATATTTTTTTAAAAAAACTTCATTTATAGAAAAACAAACCCTATCCTGTTTCCTCTACAGAATGGAACTGCTCAAAGCATTTAAGTATAAAAGAAATAGCAATAAATAAATAAATACATACATACATACATACTGATTTGGCTTATTATTCAGATTCAGAGAAAATCAGAGTCCAAATAATAAAGTCAAATAAATATTACAGAATCTAAAGCTGATTTTAAAAGGAATTATTGCAATTGTTGTAGCATAAATATAGAGCATAACCAAAGATAAAATCCTTGCACATATTTCACCAAATGTGCCTCTGAAGGCAATTACTTGTGAAAAAAGAATCACAAAGCTATAGATTCACGTGGAAGGAAACAGTTCATCAAAAAGCTTTATGTCAGATGCTTAGGACTCTAATCAGAAGCAACTTGAACTGAATTTAGCAATTCTAGAGTATGCTCCAATACAAGAGAGATAGTAGGTTGACTTTTCTCCTGGCTTTACTCTAAAAAACCACACACACACACACCCTCCATGGGCCAAGAATAGCTGGCTTAAGTCAAAGCATGTCCTCTTAAGAGCAAGGAAGAAACTCTACAATTCTGCTGTTATTTTATTCTTTATATAATACAAACAGTAGCCCTGTTTTACATGGCACGCTTAACTGAGTTATAGGGAAAGGGTATTGATATGTCATAAGAACTGGAAAACTGGGATAATTTACCCAGCCAATTAAACTTAAGGGAATTGGATTTAGTCCAAAATAGCCTGGGTGGATGAGGGATTAAATTAAGTCTCCTGGATGACTATAGGGTGCTTGTCTTAACTAACCCTATTCCCAACACTCATCAGAGATAAGGTCCTAGAAAAGCCCCATGAGAACAGGACCTATTTTGGCATTCCATCACTGTCTGCTTTAGTTTTACATTCCTTCTCCATCAAGTAAAAAGGAAGCAGTAATTGGTAGGAGCTGGATATGCTAAACACAGTAGCATCACAATCTTTCCCCTCTGTTCAAGAAAATAAAATAAAAATGGGAAGAGCGAATGGTGGGCAAAGTCTTTCAGCCTGCTTTGTGCCAGTGGGTAGGTAGATGGGCAGGGAGGTAGGTAAGTAGGTAGGTAGATAAGGCTTGAGTGAACTGGCTGAGGCAAGGGGACTGCTGGGTAATCTGTCATGTGAACACAGCTATAATATATGATTATCGACCAGGGAACGCAATGAGGAGAAAAAAATGGAGATGGGAATAAACAGGGAAAGAACATGTGGCTATTTCACTGAGACATTTTTACACTTCATAGCAGGCTAACGTATTCACTTGTTTTTGACAAGAAAACTTTGTCAGTTGGATTGTTTCTGTGATTGGATATATTGCTAGGAAATATGGGGGCATGGTCTGTGCAGCATTCCTATTCCAAATCATTTTAAAAGGCCCTGAGGTTGGACTCCTATTTAATTCCCTTAATTTTTTAAAATGGAGGGCATTTTAGCATTCAAGATACATTTCACTGTTTTGAAGTGGTATGAATTAAAGCAGATACGCTGGCTGAGTTGATGGGAAATGTATTCTAATATGTAGGGGTGGGGTGGGAGAGAGAGGATCTGGTTGGGAAAAACTATATAAAAATATTGTCACTTCCTTCACATCCAGTTTTGTTCTGCAAGTATGTATTCAGAATGTATGCTTGGATACAGCTAGTCTTTAGCCAAAAAGAGATTAGAGAATATACTGGGGAAGTTTGCTTTTATTTATTGGTCCCACATTGACACAATGCTTCATTCTCATCTACTCAATCAACAGCTCTGTGTGAATAGGAAAACTCTTCCTATCTCTTCTAGAATTGCTTTACTAGGCCACCTGCTATGTAGGAAGTGGGCTGCATGACTGATCAGAGGAATAACTACAGCAGGTGTGTCTACAAGCTGTAAAAAGCATTAGATGCATTTAGCTCTCAAGCTGCCATGATTCAGGTATCCAAGAGCAGATCAATTACCCCAAAGCACACATTCCAGTCAACTGTCATTTAACAGGTGTCTAAAGGTGGGTAGTAGAGCAGAATCATAAAAGATGGACAAGCTAATGATTTTGTTAATACAAGTATAAATAAAGTATTTTATTGTACCATCTCAAAAAAAAATAGTGTAACTATTTTTTTCTGAAATACATGATTGTGATTCAGATGGAGAGACAGGTGAGGATTATTAATAGCAATGTTCAAGAACAGAAGTAGAGAGTGGAACCGTGGCCATCTGTTTGGGGGCAAAAGATGAAACAAGCATTGTGAGGCAAGCTCTGCCCCATCTCTGTGTTGTAATATTGCACATACTGTATGTATGTAGGGGCAGAGCATGCATTCTAATATCATGATACTCATTTCATCATTCTGTCAAAGGCATTGGTTCTTAATAGAACCAAAGAACTATGTGGTACATAAAAGACTAGTCAATTTGCTGTCATACATATTTATAGCAATATGTGTGCTATCGTACATGTTGCTAGTGAGACTCAATATTCATACCAGCCAGGGAACTTATAAATGATGAAGAAGGCAAGGAAATAAAAATACTGTGTATTAGAACCATGTATGCTACTAGATTCTATGGCTATGCAGAGATCTGGATACATGCATGCATGGATGTGCATATAACCACCTGTTGAATACACCTTAAAGTAGCCATGCCTTCTTTCAGCATTAAGCCATTGTCCTCTGCAGTTGCTACATATTTCTGAGGAAAAATGCATTTTGTTTAAGGCTTTTCCCAGAAGGTGCTCTATATACATACACATGTTCATCTGTTTTGCCCTTTGAATTTGGATCTCTGCATAGACTTATTAGATGCAATAGTTAAGAATTAATGGGCTAACATATGCAGATAGCAGGGCTCTTTCAGAGATTAGGGAAGCATCTTTAAAATGGGTATCACAATGATACTTTCCTCTCATCAAAGAAAAAAGGGGTCTTCCAAGTCCTACTTCACTGAGCTAAGAATAAAATACATTTGCTTTCTAAAGAAGAATAAGATAATGGACTTTCAATATTCTTTCTTTGAGGGAAGATAACCTTTATATTTTCTATTCTTCTAGCACCAAGAGAAAAGGTGGATGCTAGATTCATTTCTATATACAACAGTGCTTAAAAGTTTGTGAATCCTTTTGAATTTTCAATATTTCTGCATAAATATGACCTAAATGTTGAGAATCATTTTTCTCAATAAATAACTGAACAAGTATGATGTTTTTGATTCATTTGTTTAATTGGGTTCTCTTTATCTGGTTTTAGGACTTGTGTGGTGAAGAGATTGTGTTTTAGGTCATATTTATGCAGAAATATTGAAAATTCAAAAGGATTCACACATTTTTAAGCATCACTGTATATATTTAGCCGGTTCAAAGAACTGTCTTGCTCCCATCACTTATAAAGATGCCTTAGAAGCTAGCCAAAATATGTGTTTATGTTGCCACTGTCTGCTAAATGAGACTATACACAAAGTATGTACTTCCTTGCTCTACATTCTGAATTTTATTTTCTTAATTGTAAACACTGAGAGGCTCTGCATGGGTCAGAGAAGCAGTGGCAAATCCAATACAAAGCCATAATATGAACTCTCCTATCTCAAAAACACAAAAGTCGACTCCTTTGGCACAGCAGTTTACAGATTATTCACATATACCTGCTTATTAACTCCTTAAAATGCAGATTCCCCAGCATGGCTTGAAAAATAACAGCATGGTGTCATTTTTGTCCCCTTTGCTGTGATAGTTTAACACTCATAACATTATCTTGCTTTACTGTCAATGCTACATTCTCTGATAGTTTTAGCTTCTTTCATCCTAAGAAAAAGACCAGAGAATTTTATTATTCTTACGACCTGCATCTTGTGCCTGAGTTTTTTTAATGCTCTCTGAATTGTGCAAATATATCTTGCAAGATGCATTCTGCCTCTTTCCTTCCTCAGCTACCATGTGCACAGCAAAAAATGAAGAGCCTTGAACTATTCGTGAAGAGATGTAGCTGCTTATCAGTGCCAGGCAAAAAGCCTCTCAAAGCAGCTGCTTTGCCACAAAAGATGGCTCTCACTGCCAAGGGAAGAATTTCTTTATCAACAGCTGCATTTTGTATGCTCTATTTTTGTGCTACACACTGCCTCAAGCCCCTGGGATACACCAGCATAAAAGTTGAAAGATGTAAGTGTCATGCAAACAATTGCAGCTTGCAGCTCCACCACCACAGAAGTTAAGACATGCTTCAATGATGTCCACATCTTTGTCTTCTTCTGATGTTAATCATTTTTTTCAAATGTATTAAAATACCATATTTTTTTCTCAACATCATATAGATAAAACTGAAAAGACTGGTGGTATGATATCCAACAATATTAATTTTAGGCTCACAGCTTGTAAACTTTTAGCAGCTCCCTTAAGTCAAACTAATGTTAATAATGCTTTAAAAACAAAAAGAGTGGATGGCCTAGTTACCTTATCAAAGCAAAGCTGCAATTCTCACCTGTGTAGACAACCAGACATATCAATGAACATATCAATTCCACACCCAAGATTCCCAGGATGAAGCAGAGATACATTTTATTGTGATTAGGAAATGAATGTTGCAGTGACATTATCAGCAGTAAAGCCACATTTCCTATTAAAAACAAATAGGACACATTAAAAACAGAAATCTGAGTCAGCTTTCCTCACAAAGTTATATTAGCTGAAAGTCAAGGACCTGTAATGGCCACTAAGACAGTGAAGGATAGTCTAGAAATTTCCAAATATAGCTGAAAATTAACTTTTCTACATATATAATGCTGCAGTAACTTTAAACCAGATTGCACCCAATAGATAACCTTGATCAAGAGGCCATTAAAATAAATCCTTAAACTCTAATGACCCAAAATAGAAACAAACAGAAAATATATTATCTGTCTGCAGTGCAAGAGACAGGGATAGAGTTTGAATTCAGTTCTCCCCCTCATTATGCCTCCAGAACAATTCAGTCATCACTGATTATCTGCATAAAGGTTCTGCATGAATCTTTATGGTAGTGGGCTGGTCTTACTGGAATAATATATGCTATTTATTTTGATTGGATTCCCACCTGTCACACCATCTTTCAATGGATTTAGGAGTAATGCCACGAACATATATAAAACTATTCTTGGTAGAATTAATATAGATTGATTGAGTGCCATTGAGTCAATGTCGACTTTCAGCAACCATAGCTGGATCCTCTGTAGGATAATCTGTCTTCACCTTGGCCTTTTAGGTCTTTCAGTGGTGCGATGATTTCAACAATCACTTGCTATCCACGTGGTTTTATTAGTAAAATACAAGAGTATATTACCATTGACTTCTTTTGTGTAATATGAAATTATGTAACCCCAGTTAACTTCTTGTATCAGTTCTGTGTTGGCACAGGTGCCTGCTTGTTTTAGCTGGGCTGCTGGGATAACCTTTACACCTTGGGTGACTATACTGGGAAAAAACACTCTTGGTGTACCTCGCCATCCCTCCCAGGAACACTCACTCCCCAAGGATGAGATAACATAGCAGGACTTACAAGTGAAACTAATATTAGCATTATGTAACGGGACAATATAGAATAATTCTTTTCATAGGGGCATAGCACAAGCACTAGATCTTCAAGAAAATGCATCATCTGTTTAAATAGTTAGCTGTGAGCCATCTTGGCAATGTTTTTATCTCTAGAGCTCTATCTAGTGGCCCCATTTCAGTGGTGCACATAAAACAAAACTACAGATATTCATCAACCTGTAAATTGGTTGGTTGGTTGGGTCAGACTGCAGTTTGGTTGTTACAAAAAATAGATACTGAAATGCCAGATACTTAAAGATAAGATTTTTCATTTTCAAAGTTTTTTATTACAGCAAAATTAGACTTCTTTTCAAAAAGTGGCATATTTCTCTAGTACTGCAAGAGACTCAGTCACTCTACCTCTCTTGTTGATTAACTTACTTTCCAATCTCTAGAAAAAGGTTTCTCATTCCGCCAAATTAAGTAAGTTTAGAGCTGCTCAGTGGCAAGTGTTAGCCCTTCAAGGTAGTCCATACAAGAAGCACAACCAGCAGCATCAGCACTATCTTTACTATAAGGTTAAACAGAATCCTGTAAGACTGAAAGCATTTCTCCCCTCCTCTCTTTTTAGTCTCCAGAAAACTAGGGGAGGTCTCTTCTGAAATCCTTCCCATGCTTTTCCTCTACCTGTGGACTGAACTGCCTCTTATCAGACTGTTGCCCAGGCTGCTGGTCTTCCTCCTGTCTCCCAAGGTCATTCCCACATACCATCACACAACAGGGGAAAACTGGGAGCCACAACATTCTTGTCTTGTTTTACAATTAGAGAAACAAGGAATAGAAATATCATACAATGATAGGCAAAGTTAGAAATATAAATTGAAAAATGAAATTAAGTGGTACTACCACAGCAGCAAATAATCTCTCCAGTTTTATAAAACCGTATCTTTTAATTTAACACCTATTTAATACCTGATTCATGTTCAGAGTGCATGCTGTTTTCCATCAACATCCTTCATGTACTGCTTATTTCATCTTTATAAGCCAATGAAACTAACTGAGAGGTGATAACTGATAGAGCAGATTTATTGTTTAACTATATTGGGTAGGACCTGAACCAACAGACTCAAGATAAAAGCTTTCAAGTAAACATTAATCCTGATGCTATAAACTATTTGACACTAGACCAGAGTACATTAAAAGCTGATGAACTCTCATCCTTGAAAGCAAAGCTGAAAGCCTATTTTCAGGGATGCTTCAAGTCAATATCATATATTTATTAGGTATCAGAATAGAAGTTTCCAACTCTATTAATAGTATCTCCTGCACTTACAATCCCTAATGAAAAAGTGCCTTGAATACATTCTTGCTCTCTAAAGAATTGTGACCACTGGTGTTACTGCAAAATATAATTTTCTACGCATGCAAATAGCAGCAAGTAGAGAGGTGATATGCATGTGGACTGGCCAATTTTTTTTTCATATGCTTAACTAATCTAGATCAGTAAGACTGAATCTATGATATGAAGAGGATCTATATTGTCTGAGCCACTAAATATACATCACTAGCTTTTTAAAATGACTATTTTGATGATTTCTTAAAAGTCTCTATATCCTAACTGAAAATACTGTAATAATTTGGTAAAATAAGATCAAGGAAAATAGTTGTATTGATAAGTATAATAATTTATTGCATACCATCATGCATCTATTTTCCAAGCATCACTTAGTTCTTTTATTTCCCTTTCTCCTTTCTTGGGTTCATATCCCTATCACAACTCCAAACAGTTTCGTATCAGGAAACTATTCAAGTACTCTTACTGGATTGTAAGAACCTGCTGCTAGGAAGTGCTTATAAGCAAATATCCACTTGTCACAGATTCATAGCAGCCACTAGGAGTTATTTGCCACATAATGGGCCTGGTATAATTAAAACAACACAATATCACTTCTTACCATTGAAAATATAATGTGACCATTACTCAGCAGTGGCTCTGTTTGTAAATATGCTGCAGTGTAAAATGTATTAAATGCATGGAAAATAAAATCATACTTTTAAAAGTCTTATCTGAACAGGATTTTACACTGTTTATTAGTCATAGCTATAATAATGACTTGTTTCGGCTTACCAGAATGAAGGTTTCAACTGATCAAAATGAGATGTATCACTACAAAAATAACAGAACGTATTTTCACCCTATATATGTAACATCATTACTGTATACTGAAATATTTGTATTTAGAGGAAAAACATTAATTAAAATGAATAAGCAAGTGCATTCTGGCTCACCTGTTGACTGAATTAGCAGGGGAAGCCTTTTAAGATGTCTTGTGGTTCGGTAGATGTGGAGGTAACCTTTGCTTCTGACTTTGCTGTGTTGAACGTGAATGTATCGTTCCAGGAACAGATGAAGAATCCAGAGAATTACCTTGGCAATCACTATAATAGTCTGCACTTTAAAGGGATAAGTGTAGTTTTCGGGGCACGTATCTTCACTTGAATCAGCGTAAGAGCAAACCATCCCTGTCACAAATGCCAACACAACAAAAGCAACCTAGAAAGAAAGATATTAAATAATTATAAGATATGGACTAAAGAAGTGAGTATTATCAGTCAGGTTTCATGCAAGCTATTTATATTAAGAGTATTTTTTTTATTGTGAGCTGAATTATCATATTGTTTCAACTGGAAATGCTTGTATCTCCCAATTCAGGAACAGCACCACCATAACCCAATTCTGAGTATGCCATCCATCTAACGCTGAACTATTCTAATATGAACATGTATCCAAGATACGGCTGTGCATAGTATTTGGGGCACTTTATAACCAGTTGAAGGATAATGAAAAGTCCATAAGATTCAACTTTGGCTTGCATCAAAAGGAGTCACTGGGGTTGTTAAATGGTATTGCCCTCTCTAAATAGCACAAAGGCATTATGGGGAGTTCTCTAACTATGACTGTGTCTATTATTTCATTAAACTATCCAAGACACCAGAGTTATCTTTTCTCAATTCAGGAAGCCTGGGTGTGTGCATGGAATCAGTTTCCATCAGCCTGTTTCTGGCAATGATATGACTTCTGAAAATTCCTATATAAAGGTTCTAACATAAAGCAGTAAATTAATGGTACATTTTGAAAGTAAGAAGCTCTTTATTACAACCACCATATCAGTATTCCAGGAATATCCCATAACACTACTGCCAGTAGATGTATACAGACATGGATTAAAAAGTATTCAAGTAAACTAGCAATAAAACCTCACAGTTAAGATTCTAGTGTGGTTACCAGAACTTTGTGATGCTTACAGATTCAACTTGCAGTATGCATTGCACTTTAACAAAAAAAGTCTATCTAGCTGACATGCAACTTGTACTTTGAATTCCAAGACTGTCTTACTAAGAAGTGTTTCTATTGATCCTTTCACTTCAGTGAAATAGGAACTCATCAAGGAAAGGGGAAATACATAGCTTCTGCTTTATTATTTTTTTCACTTCTATGCTAATTTGTCCTGAACATAATGAAGATAGTCACTATGTTATTTCACTTGCAAAGCAAAGAGAGTGACTTAGCCTGGTGTTAATACATGTCACTGCTTCTGCCATCAAGGTGGTTTTAGAGTTGTGCTTTCTTCCTCCCCTCACCCTCTACCCATACACACCACTGAAGCATAACCCCCTTTTACTGTATTACATCAAGCAACACTGCTTGGCATATACAGAAACTGTTTTGATGGCTCTGTTTCATTTGCATAATAGTCAGCAAGGAGACATGATGATTCATATCCCAGAACTGGGGAAGAATGGCAAAAGCTAGATTTACTGGTTATGGCACCAGAAGTAGGAATCTTCTGTACATCCCATTTTGTTGGTTTTTAATTTTCTCAGTTGAGATTACAGTATCAATCCCCAAGCTGCAAGATGATAAGACTAACAGTTTGGCACATTATTTCAGTGTATAAAGCCTAACTGCCCATTTTTAATAATGAGTCAAGACTATGCATTCTGGATTCCACATAATTATGATGGGGCAAGACTGGAGAAGTCTTAAAGGAGACCTAGATGCCTCTGCCACTTTTAAAGGACCAAGAAGGACAAACTGGGATAAAGTTTGTTTGTTTGTTTTTATCTGCACTCAATCGTTACCGATTCTGCGGTGACTGCCTGGACAAGTCCCTGCAGTTTTCAGGGCAAGGTGTTTCAGAAGTGGTTTGCCATTGCTTCCTTCCTAGAGCAGAGCCCAACTGGCGAGCGCAGGAGGCGGGGTTTCCGTTGCTTCGCGCCTTTTTCAGGCATGCGCGGCTTCCGCGTTACTGGCAACTGGTCCCATCTCCTTTGCAAGGCGCCGCCAGCATTTTTCCTCCCACCAGGGTGAGAGTACCCATTTATGTACTCACATAAGTTTTCGAGCTGCTGGGTTGGCAGGAGCCGGGGGGGGAAGCAGGAGCTCGCTCTGCTGCGCGGAGCTGGGCTCGAACCGCTGAAGTGTCGACCATTTCTGGCCGGCAACTTTCAGCGTCATTAAGCCGCTGTGCCACCACGTCATAAAACTTATGACATGTCTTTCTGCTGGGGAAGGAGCAATTTAAGTGCCAGAGAAAGAAATTAGTATTCCTAACTTGTTAGTCAGCTAAATGAAATAACTGCACTTTACCACCTGGTCTGCAGGCAAGCTAAGCTGATCATTTGCATCACTCCACATTTGTCTGTTCTTTAACTTACATGCAAAAACAACAAAACATTGGCAATGAAGACTGTAGGTATAGCATGGAACTCTGGATGTAGCCTGGAATGTAACATATGGGGTGGAAGAAGTGGTGCATCAAGTAGAGGGTCATCATCCATGCTCTGTGTTATCTCCAAGGATCCCTGAAACAGGTTCAGCGACAAAATATTTTAAATCAGAAAGTCAAAATAACTTTTACATATGCAGAAATCAACTATGCTTGTTTGTGCAAGTTTTATTACATTAGAAAGATCTAGACATTTCAAAAAGCAAAACATTTTCAGCAAAATCCTATGTATTTACTTGGATGCATTTCCTATTATGTGTAATAGGATTTATCATCATCTACAGAGAATTATAGTTGTCATATAATTTTAGAATTTATATGGGGGATGCAGACCAGATTACAGCAATGAAGGTTCTGTCTGAGGACAGAAAATGGGTTCCTCCTCCCAAAGGAAAATGTTGCTATGCAAATCAGTATAAATCCAATTAAAATATTCACTTCAGTATCCGTATCTACATATTGCGGCTATGTTATTTGATGGGGGTGGGGAACCCTGAAATCCCTTTTCCTCAATTTTTAGAACAATCTCCCCAAAATCAAACATCAATCCATCTCTGAAACTGCCAAATATGTCTGAAGTGGGAAATCTTCTGGCCTACATTTCTGGCCAGGAAATCCTGGTTCCAGTCCACATTTAATTATGAAAGGTGACTTTGGGCCTATCACTGTTTCTCAGCCTAATCTACTTAACAGGAATGTTATTGTGAGGATAAAAAGAGGGACATCCACCACATTTTATTTTCAGTGAAAGAAGCTATATAAAAGAAATAACAGACTGACTAAATAAATTGAAAGCAAGGAATGTAAATGAAATGTGAAAAATGCAGTGGCAGATGAAATTTAATATGCTCAACTAATACATTCATCTAAAATATGCCTTTGTAAGCATATTTTGACAGTTTGACAGGAGTGTAGCAATACATTTCATATATGGGGGGAAATCCAAGAGTACTTCCTGAAAAAAATGCACATATGACCCCCAAAACAGTTCCTTCTTCTCATTTACCTTACCTTCATGAGCAAAGAATGCTTTAGCTAAGACCCCCATTCCTCCACCTTGAGATTTCTTTGCTCATAGGTAAAATTGCTCAGTTTGGTTGTTTTTGGAGATAGTACTACCTCATAAATATCAGTATACACTGACATGATTTGTATGTAGTCCCCGGGTTAAGAATGCCCAGGTTACAGATGATCCATAGTTAAGAATGGAACCTACTGTAGCAAAATTCAGGTTAAATACACAATATTTGAGTTAATTACACAATACTACTTGTACAGTATTATACAATAATACCGTTCCAGCTTACATACAAATTTGACTTAAGGACAGACCTTGGGAACAGAAGTCATTCTTAAACCAGGGACTACCTGTACTGTATTTGACAATAAACCCTGTACCTGTGACCATAAACTCAAGCAAAAATCCCCCTTGTATCACAAAGAAAGTTTTAGTGCATTATAAAGTAAATAAGCATAGGGTATCTCATGATCTGAAAACAAATACAAAAGTCACTTTTGAAAAGATAGCCATCCATATCATCTTTACATCATATACAACTCTTGCCAGACAGTGAGGAGAAGCAAGCACTCAATTTGATTTATTTGGATCTGCATGTGTGTGTGGACAATTATCCTAATACATTAGGAACTTTTTACTTAGAAGCATAAATTTACTATTTTCAGATCCTTCAAACATAGAACTAGCAGAATACATTTCCCTCCCAACTTCGATTCTCATCCTTTCTGATATAGTACTTATTTTGCATTTTGCAAGACTCCTTTTTAAGCCTAGAATTAGAAGGATAAAAATTCAGATTTAAAATGATCATTCCTGAACAAATTTGTAAACATATTCCTGACATTTTCCACCAATGTCAGTGGGGAAAAAAAGTTTTTCTAATTAACTTCATTTTTTAAAAGTTAACTTTTAAAAACCTCTGGACAAAAAATAATTTAAAAATTCATCTAATACTGTACATATTAATAAAAACAGCTGTCAACAAAGTACATACTGTAATCCTCTGGCCACAAAGAGGCCAGCACAGAAGTACATTTTACATTAAATTGCACATAAGCCTGAAAATGCTACTTTTGTGTTTTTCTTTCAACATCAAACCTAAAAAGTAGGTCTGTATACTGTTAGCAATTGTCAGCATTTTTCTTTTCACTGTTGATTAATATATTTATTCAATGGGAGCAAATACACTAAGACCTTTAATATCTGCTCTTCAACTTTCCTGTTTAACTTGAAATGTAACATGATCAGAAGGAATCAAAGCAGCAGTGTCAAACTAACAGCTCAGTATAACTTCAGTTTTTCTGGGAATAAATCCCAGTAAATTCACTTATATCTAGGTAAAATAATTATTATATTTAAACTATAAAAGATACTTAGATACCCTTGGCTAGAGAGATATTTTCTAAATTTATTAAAACAAAACCATGAAATTAGGATTTCAGATCAGAATTAAATATTCACTAATACTTCATCTTTTCCTAATTGTGCTGTAGCAATATGCTTTTTGTTTCTAACCAACAACAAACAAAATTTTGAACTGGGGGAAACATGGATGTTATGTTTTCAAATACAGTGAGTCAATCATTATTGCTGAAGAGAAACAGCATGGTTTTCAGGATCAAGGTAGTTATTCTTTGGGAAAACTCTGGAGTTCAGGGGCTTCCTTCACTATTCCACTGTAAAAGGATATGCGAACTCTGTAGTTCAATATTAACAGGAAGTAGTAAGAAGTCCTAGTAAGAAGTCAGTTTTAAGATATCTACAGATTACATTGTTAGCAATCTATTGAAATGTATATCCTATTGGATATAATATATGTAGGGTTGAAATATTTATTTATTTATTTAATCTGTTCAATTGTGTGAGATTCCCAGAGACTGCCTGGACAAGTCCCTGTAGTTTTTTTGGCAAAGTTTTTCAGAAGTAGTTTGCCACTGCCTCCTTTCTAGGGCTCAGAGAAAGTGACTGGCCCAAGGTCACCCAGCTGGCTTTGTGCCTTGGCAGGACTAGAACTCACGGGCTCCCAGTTTCTAGCCTGATGCCTTAACCACTACACCAAATTGGTTGAAATATAATACATCTTAATTTCACTAGTGTTTCAGCTTCCACAGAGAAAGAGACCAAATTATCATCCCTGATGGACAAAGGAAGACAGACAACTCTTCTGTCAGTTCTAGCCAGTATGACCAATGATGAAGGTCAATTCTAATAATAGCTGGAGACTAACGTATCATTTATCTCTTCTTTAATGTATTACATTCCAGTTTTTTTAATCACAAAATTGTTTTTCAAATACATAATTAAATTCAAAAATAAAACCTGCAAGACACAGGATAGCAACCCTCCTTCTTAATTTGACAGGAAGGTTAACATCCCTCACAGAACTTATGTTTCAGTGCCACAATCAGCCACAGCAGATAGGCAGATAGACAAAGCAACCCTGTCTTTAATTAGTTTCGTCTTGAAATCTATTATTGATCTCACTGAAATTCTAGCAAATATTTTTCATAGCACAAAAACAACTCAATGTACTTTGGTATGGTTTAACTTTTAGTAATGTCATATTAAACATTAATTGCATAACTTCAATAATTTTCCTCATACACTTACTAGTATTCTATTGGAAACTACATCTTTGTTTTAAATACATCAATATATTCTAGCAAATAATGCCATTTTTGTACACTCAGGGATCCATTTTCAGTACTGTAACTGCACTTAATGACAAAAGATGCATAAGAAAATAGGGAGCCAGTGATATGTCGATCCTTTATCCCATAAGCAGCTCAATTATAGGATAACCCTAGTTTTAAAACTCTGTGCAAATACATATTGTTGGCAATCCTAGTCTCAATATTAGCACTTTGGACCAGTCTGATAAAACATGAAACAAAATGTGATTTATCTAATAGTGCTTCCTGGCACTTTAACTTTAGCATTTGTGTAGCACGGATTTCAAGCCGAAATAGGGAGGGGAGGAAACACAGAAGGAAAACCTGAACACCTGTTATTAAGCATGTCTATAACTATGCCTGACACCGATTTATCTGTGTGTCACATACAGGCTGAGTTCACACGTATTAATGGAGTGGGTTTGGCTCACTATATTGTGTGAAAATTATTGGAAGAGCTCAAATCTTTTCAGAAAATTCATCCCAAGGTCTCGCAAAACAAAATTTGTGCCTCCCTGTCTCCAAAGAGAAATGAAAGAAAGTCAGCGCTATCACATGATAATGACGAGACGCCTTCGTGCTGGGGCTCTCCAGACATGAGGCTAGCCCTTCCAGTATCTCAGCTACTAGGGTCACCATACTGGTTAGCGACGACGGCAGCTGCCGTCCAGCTCCCTTCCAGAGCGCCCTGTTGAGGGCAATAATCAAGCGAGGGGGCCAGGGTGAGCCTAAGCAAACTAAACCTTGGAGTCACGCGGATTTTCAGTCTGGACCCCCAGGCAATCTGCTGCAAACCCTCCACCACCACCGCCGCCCCCCCCGACACCGGACTCGCCGCTCACAGGAGTGTCCGTACCAGCCCGCAAATACCAGCATGCCAGGGACCTCAACGCCATAACTCACGTTATCCACACCACGCAACTGCCGCCCTCCTGAAGCCGAAGCTCCCCCCATCGTGGGCTGCTCCTGCAGCTGCTTCCGGTGCCGCCCCCCCCCCCCGCTGCGTTAAAGGAAACACCCCACCCCCTCCATTCCCGGGTACGACGTAGCGCATCTTCGGCTTTTGTCTCCACTCCAAATCTCCTCCCACTTTCTACGGGCGCTCTTATTGGAGACACGTTGCGCTCAAAATAACCGCCTCTCTCGAGGGCCCCGCCCCCCACGCGCAGTACCCTATGCTGCCTCGAGGAGAAAGGGGAGAAATAAGGGCTGCCTTCGCTGCTAGTGAGGCTTTTGCTTTGCTGTTGCACCTGCGAGAGCAACTTCTTTTACCTGCTGATTCCACGTTTGAGGTGAGGAAAAATGCCCACAACAGTGGGTGGTTTCTTCCCGTTTCAGGAAGGGGAAGCCCAAAGCGAGGGAGAACCGAAGGATAAATTCGAGAAAGGGGGAAAAACATTTCTGAAAGCATGAAAACTGCTGTGGTGAATCAGGACTAAGAGAACAGGACAGTGAAACGCTGTTGCTGATTATTTGTCCTATATATCTGGATCGGGGGGGGGTTAGACCCACTCACGTGCACTGAAGCATGACACAGTCTTAACTTAGACTGCAGTTTTCCTCCTTGTCTCCATCTCATATCTAGCCCACGAGTTAGCTTTAATCAACATTAACTGTACTAGAATAACACTTTTCACCTTATTTTGACACCACTCAACAGCTGAATGCCAGCCTCAAAAGGGGATAAGATGTGCTAATGCTTCACATCCCCAGAATCTGGTGCTTTCCTCAGGTGATGAAAGCACAGTTGGCGGTTGTGACATGGCTTTCAGCATTTGTTCCCCCTTGACCAACCTTACAGGTGTCTGTGACACCCATAACTCTTGAAGTCTAGTGATCCAAGATGAATTTTGGGAATGGTGAGATGCACTGCCCCTTCCCTTCTGATCACTGTTGGTTCTGGACTACAGCCATTTTGTCCTGTCTATTAGTTTCCCATTCAGAGCTGTCACTACATCTCCCTGTTTGTTTGTTTCTATCCACAGGCTTTGAAGATAGATGAGAACAGACTTCCATTATTTCGCCTGGGAAAGAAGAGAGGCTTGGTTAGTGGTGACTTTGGATGCAGAAAAGTTTGCACAGTTCCTTTGCTCTTCTTCCAGGATGTTCTTTTGATCAGTTTAGAACTCTATTCCTGACCTAGCTTAAATCAGGCTCTAGCTTAGAACCCTATCCTTCCTGATCTAGCTTCAAACCCTATTCCATGGAAGAATCCCATCCAAGGATTCACTATGCTTGACCTGAATAGCTTCTAAACTCAGACGAGATCAGCCAGGTACAGCCAGTTGCTGAGGCAGACTTCACTGTGGCTTAAGTTGCTATGCCAACTAGTGTTTAAGATTGCACTCTTTTTTACACTAAGCATTTCTACAATAGTAATGTATTACATCACCTGGCTATTGCTGTGGGTCAGTATCACTAATTGATTCATAAGTTACATTTATATCTGGCCTTACTGATCTCAGCTTCTGATTCTAGAACAAGAAGCCTGCCAGCAGTGACTTAAGGAAACTGCCCTTAATGTTTATTGCAAGAAGTAGAAAAGCCATTAACAGAAGAACTCCAGCAACTGCCAAGTTTAAGATACAAACCCTGTTTATAGTAGAAGTAAGGTTAACTTTTTATACATTTCTCCCACCAGTTCTGTGTATTGGGCTGATAGTCTCATGCTTTGGGACAGATAGTTTCGTGCTTTGGGACAGAAGGAGTGGTTAACTTCTATGCAGTGTTGTTATAATTAATCAGTCTGGTCTCAGGCTGTTTGCTTCTCACCTTGCCAAATCTACTGCCCACAGAGCCCAATGTTCCATTGAAATTAACAGATTAATGTCTGATTTTTCTCATTTTTTTTAAAGAAGTGTCATGTGTCTTTTGATCATCTGTTGTTTATCTAATGTTTATCTGATGTTAAAAATACAATTGAAAGAATATCCTGGCTGCCATAAGCACGCTAAAATCTACTGACCCAGAGATGGTGCTATACAGTGCGCACATAGAAAAAAGATCATTTGTAAGTTATTAAAATATTCAATAATTTGTACCATAAGATAGTAACCTTAGCCTTTTCTTATATTCATATGGAAATTAACCTATTATTCTCAATAGCATTTGCAGTTATTCATTAAGTACAGAATGGAAACTTTGTAGCAATTTTTGTTTACAACCTAGATCCAGGGAATTTTGATCTTTGGGTCTAGATGGGGTTGTACTGCAGTTTGGGGGTCCTCCTGAACTCATGGCTCCTGCTTGAAGAACAGGTGCCAACCATGGTACAGAGAGCTTTACATAAATCCTGTGCCAGTTGCACCCATTCCTGCACTGGGAGGCCCTAGTCACCTTCCATTTGGATTATGGCTATGATCTACATCGGGCTACCATTGAAGACCACTCAGAAGCTACAGCTGGTACAGAATGCAGCAGCATAAATAGTTTATTTATTTATTGTATTAAATTTAGAGGCCACTGACTCCACACAATTCTGGGTAGTTTACATTATTAATAAAAAACAAAATAGAACAATAAAAACACAGAAAAATCCTGAAAAATCGTGAATGTCTGTAAGGATAAACACAATGCCTCCAAAATTACCCAAAAGAAAAACCAGTAGGGGCTCATCCACCTCCCTATCCTCAAGCCTGGGAGCAAAGCCGAGTTTTTAATGACTTTCGGAACACTGTTAGGGTGGGAGCTGTACACATCTCCAGGGGGCTGCCACTCTAGAGGGCAGGTGCTAGAAGAGAGAAGACACGCTTCGTAGGTCCCAATAGATGATATTGTTTAATTGAAAGGACCTGGAACATGCCCATTCTATCTGATCTTACTGGGTAGTTATGGAGTATGTCCATGTAACAGCACTACTTGAGCTGCTGTTGAGTATGCTTCTGGGTGCAACTTAAGCTGACGGTTGTAACCTATGAAATCCTTCATGGCATAGGGCCTTATTATTTCCAAACCCATCTGTCGCCAGTTACGTCTGCCTATCTGATCAAATCTGGCAGGGTGGGTCCAGTCAAGTAAATAGTGTCATCTGGTGGGATCCAGGAGACATTCCTTCTCTGTCACTGAACGTGTCCTTTGGAATGGCATTTAAGATTTGGATGGGCCCAACCCTATTGCCTTTCTAGAAGGCTCTTTAAAGGTGGCTTTTCACCCAGGCATGTGGTCAGAAGGTTTTTTTTTTTTTAATTTATTTATTTAATTTATTTATTTATTTATTTATTTATTTAAAAGATTTATATAGCTGTCCATCTTAAACAACTCTGGGTGGCTTACAACAACATTCAAACCAATAAATAAAACAATAAAACCAGTAAAACAATAAAACAATAAAACAAAAACCCTGAACTTTAATTATCCCCTTGGGATGCTCCACAGCAGGCTCAATTATCTTCCATCCATACTATCTACCTATACAATCCTATCCCAGCGCCTCAGTAAAAAGCCAGGTTTTAATAGCCTTCTGAAAGGTTAGAAGGATGGGGGCCTGTCAAATAGCCTGTGGGAGGGTGTTCCACAAGGTAGGGCAGCCATGGAAAACGCACACTTCTGATGTCCCATTAGATGGCAAGATTTCAGGGAGGGGACCTGGAGTGTGCCCACCCTATCTGATCTAGAGGGATGGGCAGTTATCCTTAGGGAGAGGTGGTCCTGCAAATAACCAGGTCCCATGCCATGTAGGGCTTTAAAGGTGAAAAACAGCACCTTGAATTGCACCCAAAGGAATATTGGGAGCCAGTGCAGCTCGCACAATAAAGCTGTAACATGGGTAAACCTGTGGGCATCCAATACTGTGTCTGTCACTGCATTCTGGACCAGTTGTAACTTCTGAATGGTCTTCAAGGGCAGCCCCATGTAAAGCGCATTGCAATAATCCAACCAGGTGGTGACTAAGGCATGAGCGACCGTGAGCAAGGGCTCCTGGTCCAGGAAAGAGCGCAATTGGTGCACAAGATGGATCTGTGCAAAGGTCCCGGTAGCAATGGCTGCCACCTGCTCATCAAGCAGGAACCATGAGTCCAGGAGGACCCCCAAAGCGTGCACCAGCTCAGTTCAGGGGAGTGCAACCCTGTCCAGAGTCAATAACAAGTCACCAGCCCCTGGGGGGCCAAAAACCCGGAACCACTCTGTCTTGCCAGGGTTAAGCCAAAGTCATTTCATCCTTTTCCAGGCACTTGGACAACACTGCAACAGGATCACCTACCTGGCAGGGGTAGAGATGCATAGCTGGGTATCATCAGTGTACTGATGATAGCGTACCCCATACTGTCACATGACCTCTCCCAGCCGTTTCCTGTAGATGTTAGAGGAGAGGGGAGAGGCCCAAGCCCTGAGGCACCCCACGCTATGACTCCCTTGATTGTTTTGGTGGTGGTTTTGCATTGGTTGAAGTTGTCTCAGATGTGTCATGTTTTATTCTTTTTAATGTGCTTTTTTCATGATTTGTGATTTTTTTTAATCATCCAGTGGTTATATAAATTGCATGCATGTTGTTGGATGGTTATATAAATATATGCTTGGTATAGTATAATTGTGTGGTTAGGAATTTTTGTTTGGAATACTTGGATTCCATTTTATGCTTCCTGTTTTGTTTTTGTTTTTATGCAGTGAATGAATGAATGAATAAATAAATATGCATTCCATCTTGCTTTGATTGTAACAATGGTCCTATAGGGTACAGATCAGTATTACACACAATTAGAATGATTATAGGGTTCTTATAAGTAAATATGCACAGGGTTAAGAGAAAAGGAATAAAACTAATAGTTCTTGATAGGCATATCCTCCATTAATTTCTTCAGTCTCTTTTAAAGCCCTGGAAGCTAGTGACACTCAATATGTTATGTAGTAATGAACTCCATAAATAAATTATGTACTGTGTGAAGTAGTTCTCCGTTTTGTCTGTCCTAAATTTCCTAATCAGTTCTGTTGTATGGCTCTTGTTCCAAGTAT